TAGGATTCGGAATCAGAGTCATTTCTAAATCTCATTCATACGTTTACTTGCACCCAGAATCGGAATGAAAAAGTGTAAAAGTACTAATATACCCTTTAAATCAATTTGATATTTTCAATTTAAAAAAAAGATTGTGTACTTATTATATTAAAATTAATCATAATTAAAATATTTAATGTAATAATTGGGTACAAAAATAAAAAATATAAATGTTACAACTATTTAAAATATAAAAATAAATTTAAATAAATTTAAATAAAATAAATAAAAATAAAAAATAGTGTTAAAAAATAAAATATATTATTAATTTATTAAAAAATAAAGTACATATTTATTATATTAAAGTTAACAATAATTATGCTAATATTATAATATTAGGCAAATAAAATAATAAATATATGTTGCATTTATTATTTTTTGAATTTTATTTTGAATTGTGTATTTATAAGTAAAATAAGGGTATGATAGTAAATTAATATTAATATCAGGAATGAGAGTCTCAATCTCAAGGGAGGCATGGGAGTACCAATCTCATTCCTCAATCCCAAATTTGAGTGGGGCCCACCAATCTCACTCTCATTCCAGGACAAAAAAAAAAAGTAAACATGAGATTGACTCCCATTCTCCACTCCCATTCTTCAATCCTGGTAAAAGAGACTTTTTTTATAATTTAAGGTGTTAAGCGAAAATTTTAAAAGGGACTTTTTTATAATAAAAAAATTAAAAAAATTAAAAATTCAACCAAACCTATTTTATATTCAATTTTCTTGTCTTTTAAGATGCAAAATTATTGATTGATTCATTATTGATAAATAAATTGGCGAGAAAGAAGTATCAAACAAAATATCAATTTAAAAAGCTCTTGTAATTAGGTTGCTGAGTGAGTAGGAAAACCAGTAAAGGGAAAAGCAGGACTCAAAAGAGATTAAAGCTTTTTCTTTTTTGTTTTTTTGTAATTTTTTAGTAGTATGTAAATTGCATAAATTTGATATATATGAATATAGTCATTCTGTTATGGCATATCAAAAAAAAAAAAAAAAGTAATTAAAGCTCCATCAAAAAAGAGAAGTAATTAAAGCGAATATAGCAAGTTGATGTATAATATATGCAGTATGCTATATATAAAAATCCACTTATATACCCTATATATATATACACATAACAATTCTTAAAAATAAAATTGCTGGTAGAGTTGGAAACAGATGGAAAATTAAACTCTTGATATTCTCTTATAAATAAGGTTATTTGAATGCACGATAACCTAGAATCTCATAATTGAAAGAGAAGGTTATCACCAAAACATTAATTTGTTACCTTTTTTAGTTTTATTATAAAATGATCTAATTAATAGGTATAATTAATTAGGATTCTTAAGGGCCTTAATTATTTGGGTGCCTAAAGTAATTGCTTAAATGGCCTAATGGAAGAACCGGAACTGAGCACCTTAAAAGTTCTTGTACCGGTACTCAAATTTATCGTAATTTTTACAACTTTAACATTCAAATTTCACAAATATATCATTGTTGTACCTTATATAACTTAAAAATTCGAAGATTGTAAATTCCAACATAAAATATACAAATTTTATTTTTAACACGATGCGGAAAATTCTTCTCCCGACACCATAAAAGTTCCAAAACTTTAGCCCCGATTCTCTCACTATATTGATATCTTCATCATATTACTATTTGTTTTGTTCCTTAAACAATACACGGGTTTGATCACTTTGATGGAATACACCAACATTAAGGACCACTTCTCAAATACGAGGAATTATTCATGTGAACAAGAGGACGAGAGGAACAAGTTGGTTTTTTGGTCCAAGTCTCTTAAATTGTATTTAAAGTATAAAAATAATTTTTTTTTTATAGATTTTAGAATTATTTGAAAGCTGAAATCAATCGATACAAGATGTTTAGGTGAAAGTTAAAAGTTGAAAGTTGTTAATGTCCAGTTAAATATTTATGAGAATTGTTTTAGAAGAAGTATTTATGATAATTATGACTATATAGTAATGGAACTTATTAAAGGAGTGTTGATTAAATAGAATTAACATAAATAAATCATTAGAAAATCTACTATATATGGAGTGAATATACCGCAGAAGATGATTATGGTAGACTGGATTGCTAAATAATTTTCCTTCTTAATATTGCGTATAAATGTGGCTTACTTAACAATGTTATAAAAAGATAACACTATTTTATTGCTAGCATTAATTTTAAATTTATCATAAAAAAAGAAGATAAATATCCTTTAAAAGTGTCTTACTCTTGATTAATAACCTTTTTAATCAAATAACTATACTAACAAAAGGGTATTAATTAATGAGGGGTAAAAATTCAGACACATACTTTTTAAGGTTAAATTTTGTAATTTTGTGATTTATCATTTATATCATTAATATTCTGGTAGAATAATTTGCATATTCTATTAGAATATTTTTTTAGCAAGATATTTTTTTTGTATTATATCATAATATATTTCATATTCTACCAAAATATTTTTTAATAAATAAATAATATGATGATGAAAAATAATGATTATTCTTGTAATTTTCTCTTATAATAATTACATTATTATAAACCTCTCATGTATTTTCCTCTTCTCTTATAGACACTAACATATAAAAAATTAAAAATTAAAAAAAATAATTGCAAATTTGAAATTTCCTTCAAATGTCATTCCCTTTTATGGTAAACTTTGGAAAGTTTTACGTTATTTTCAAATCCATCCTCATTTGTAAACACTATTAAAACACAATAACTTTAGTAAACACCATATTGTTTAAATATTTTCTCTAAATAAATAGCATATTTTTCAAATGTTGAAATGAATAGCATACTTATTAATTAAAAATTTATTTAGTAGGCATAAATAATTTATTTACTAGTAAATACTCATTGTGAATAATATATTTATTAGTAATTAATGTATTTATGTTCGGGGGTAAATAAATATTTATCAATAAACATGTTATTTACGCGAACCATTGTAAAATATTCCGTTTACTTAAAAATGTTTAAGAGATATACTATTTATCTCTTCATCCCATTAAAATATCCGAGGAGAAATAGGTTGTTTTCATGGGTATAGATTAGCTACCAATTTCAGTGTTTGGACATCTTTAGTAAAGGTAAATTGTAAACTCACCTAATTATTTTTTTCCAATCTAACCAATAAAGAAGAAAGATTTTATTTTCTTTTATCAAAGAAAAAGAAGAAAATAATGATTTAAGAACTTATTTTAGGGATGTGCTCAGTCCGATCCGACAGATTTGAGTTTTTAATTTGAGCTGAGATGTGATTTTATGTGAGAATTTTTAACTAAAACAAAAAAGTTAAATATGATTTTTTATGAGAGCTTTTAACTATAGCAAACTTAGAATTAAAAACTCGAAACAGGGCCTTATCGTTGGGCTCCATTTGGGGTCAAAATAAGTGCAGTCTATTTGACTTTTCAGAGATATTTTCGTTTTAGGTTTTTTTTCCCTACTTTTTAAAGCATAAGGATGTTCTTTTATGTTAATTTGGGCTTTTAGTCCAATGTTTCTATTCAGTGGCCGTAATTATCGGTAATAAAATGTATCCTATCTTTATAAAGAAAATGTTAAAGTTAGGCTATAAAGAGAAGGCATATATGTAATACAAGTAAAAATTCGAGAAGTCAAAGAGGCCCCGATCTCACTAAGGCCCGGCCCAGTTTGAGTTACGTTTCGTAACCATGTGTAATAATAGCGGCTGTGAATGGATATCAACTAGAATGAGAGCGATCACAACATGAATAGAATGAAATAAGCATGAAAGTCTGAGCCCGTTTGGTTAGAATATTCATTTTCTGATTCGAATAATAGTTCATAGTTTATTACAGTATTTTTTTTATAAAAAATACATGTAAATCAAAAATAGTTCTAATCTCATGATTTTAATCCATGAACCAAACGGGCTCCAAATCAATTATAACATTTAACTTTAAACTTTAAACTTTAAAGGTTGAAAAATTGAAAAACAAAATAATAAAGTAGAAATAATTTATCTCGGTTTAGACTGTACTTCAAATTTTACAAATAAGATCGGGCTATAACGGCCCGATTGGGTTTTGAAACATTAGGGAAAAAAAAAAGAGACAAATATTCATTAGAATGTATGAGTTTTAAATTTTTATTCGTATACTTAATTAATACTATTTAGTTAAAGAACTCTAATAATTAAAAAAAGTATTAATAAAAAATAAAAGACAAAAATTTTAAAATAATACATTTAGGGTTAGTTTGATACGGGGATTTAAACTATGGTGATTTTAATATGATTCTAGAATCATAACTATGATTTATGATTTTAGGTTCAAATCATAATTTTAAAACCAATCATGGGTTTGAATCACCTTGAATCAAGATAGGGTGGTTTTAAAATTATGAGTGATTCTAATTTAAAATATCACATCTGATTTCGAATCATGATTTAAAATAATCTAAACTAAATACCGATTCAAAATCACTATAAATAAAAATTAATTTTAAATCATAATTTTAAATCTATTTACCAAACACAACTTTAAAAATTGAGTTCACTAATAATTTTTATCGGGGAAATGGTTATGACGAAGAATGAACCGGTGGTCTAAAAAGGGCCGAATTGAAATTGGCTCGGATTTGAGTATTTGATGGCAAATCAGCCACGGTGATTGGTCGTTCAGAACCCTCTCATCACCAACAAAACACCTCAAACATTTCCGTCACCGGAGAAAGGAACAGCAAAGACTCCCTATCTCACCACGTGGCGCAACTCAATTGGCGGTTCACAAATCCCACTCTCACAGCGGTCTAGCCCCACCAAAACTCCCCCTCTCACCCTCCCGAGTGGACCGAAATGTCATTTCCCTCTAACCAAGATAGAGAGAGAAAGAGAGATAAAACTTCGAAGAGAGAGAAAGAGAGATAAGATCTTAGAGAGAGAAAGAAAAGCAGAGAGAGAGAGAGAGAGTGAAAGTTCGAGTGTATATGAAAGAAGAAGAAGAAGAAGAAGACGCCATGGTTACAGATCAAGAAATCTCGCAAGCCCTGCAAACCCTAATCCGGGAAGCCTCCGTCACCGGCGGCGGAGTGACGACCCTGAACGGCGTCGTTCAGCAGCTGGAGTCGAAGCTCGGCTACGATCTCTCCCACAAGGCCGACTTCATCGGGTCCCAGATCCAGCTCATCGGGCCCCAGATCCAGCTCATCTTCCGATCCCACACGACCCAACCCCAACGACAACAGCAGCACCACCACCAGCAACAGGCTCAGCTCAATGACCGTTTTGCCCCTCACCAGAACCCTAATTTCCAGCCCAGCCCCTCCGCCTTCCAGACCTTTCCTTTCCAGCCTCCTCCCACGCCGCTGCCGGCGCCGAAGACTGAACCCGCCGCCGCTGCGGACGACGTCGTTTCGCCCTCCGAGCGGCCCAAGGAGAGGTTCGTTTTCTTGTTTGCTTGTTTCTTTAATGGTTCTTTGAACTTTGAAGAAAGTTTTTGTGTTGTCTTTTAGAAGAAATGGGGCTTGTTTAGTTTGTCAATTAGGGCTTTTTGAAGCGAAAGGCGTTGAATTTTGTTGAACTCGGGATTTTTCTCTTGTTTAATTTTTCAACTTCGAATAATATTTGGTGTTTTTAGGAGAAATGGGACTTGTTTAGTTTGCCAATTGGGGTTTTTGAACTGAAAGGCGTCGAATTTTTAGAAAGGCTTTTAGGCAATTCGAGTGCTTGGATTTCGTTTAATTTTTGAGATAGCCCTCTGTTTGGTTACCGGGAAAAAGAACTTGACGAAAGTAAAGGAAAAGCGACTTGCTTGCCTTGCCAATTAAGGTTTTGGATCAGGGAAGTGTGTGGTTTTGCGGAAAATAGGGTTTTGAGAATTCCAGAGTCGCCCATTATTAAATTTCAGTATTTGCATGGAAAAGAAAATTCTTTTTGACAATTTATTTTTCTTTGTGGGATAGTCCTCTGATTAGTAGTCCAGAAAATTAAAAGCTGGGAAAAGAAATTTGAAAATTTGAGGGAATGCTATTTAAAATTGAGCTTTGTTTATTCTGTTATGTGGGCCATGGGAGAACTCGAAAATCGAAGAAAAGGATAAGAATTGAGTACTCTGTTCTTTCTCTGAATTCTGAAACCAAATTTCCAAGTGACAGATATTTTACTTTTACAAATTGCAATTGTCTTATTGTTGTTGTTGTTTTTTGTTTTTTTGGGTAGATGTTTTTATTTATTTGTTGTTGTCTTGTTGACATGTTATTACAGCACTCAAACTAAGGCCAAGAGAAAAGGTGGCCCTGGGGGTCTAAACAAACTTTGTGGTGTTTCGCCTGAACTTCAGGCCATTGTTGGCCAACCAGCGCTTCCGAGGACTGAGGTTCAGACTCATTAGAATAGTTTTTTAATCGGTTTGTTGATTGTCTAATCTACTATCAGGTTTTGAGTTTTTCTTGCTGTTTGTATCAGATTGTTAAGCAACTTTGGGCTTACATTAGGAGAAACAATCTCCAAGATCCAAGTAACAAAAGGAAAATAATTTGCAATGAGGAGTTGCGAGTGGTGTTTGAGACGGACTGTACTGACATGTTCAAAATGAACAAATTGCTAGCTAAGCATATTATACCTCTTGAACCTACAAGTATGTATCTTTGGATAGTTGTCTCATTGTATTGGGTTTTTGTTTCAGTTTAAGTATGTGCACGATTATGGAATGATTTGATACCCTAGACTAAGGACTTGCTTATTTTCGTGCTATCAGAACAGTCAGTTGCTAAGAAGCCTAAGGTAAAAGTGGAGTCTGGAGCAAACAGTACTGAATCCAGTCCTTCTGTGGTCATATCTGAAGCGCTTGCAAACTTTTTTGGTGTCGGTGGAAGCGAAATGCTCCAAGCAGATGTTTTCAGACGGATCTGGGAATACATAAAGGTCAACAATCTTGAGGTAGGCAAACTTTTATCCCACCAGCCACCTAAAGAAAAAGATAAGAAGTTAGATTTACCCCGTGTGCAAAGTTTTAGTGTTTAAACACATGACATGCATAAGCGTAAGACCTCTTGATCTAGTGGCATCTTTTTGTGGGGGTTGGGTTTGGTGGGAGGTAGTGGGTTCAATCCCATATTGTATCAAAAAAAAAAAAAGGACACAATATGCCTATCTTTCAAATTTTCCACGGCCATGGCACTTTCGAGCTCCCCGTTGCTTGTTTATTTCATTTTTTTTTTTTATGCAAGCTTGTTTATTTCATTTTTATCAATATAATATAGTTGACTTCTTTATAAATACAAGTTATGTCCTTAAAGAAATACAAGTTTTATGTTGTTGGTTTACATTAAGCTGCAGTAACACTCATGGGGTGTTGGTTGGAATGGTCAGGCCTTTGGTTTGCTCCCAAAAGGTCTGGGGTTCGAACCACCTCATGGGCACCAACATGACATAAGTCATAGTTTCCTGCCTTCCAACGATTCTATTGTTTGGCGGAGGGCCCAAGTTTGGGCTCACAAAGTGGGTTTGGGAGATTTTTGGGGGGAAAAAATAGCTGCACTAACCATTCTCCTTTCGGCTTGGACATACACTCAGGATCCTTTGAACAAAATGGTTATACTATGTGATGCAAAGCTTCAGGAGCTCTTTGGTTGTGAAAGCATCTCAGGATTGGAGATACAGGAAGTTTTGGCACGTCATCACATATTCAGAAAAACCTGATGCCTATTGGGCATACCGGTAAGAACCGAATCTCGAGACTTTTAAGCTCATTTCTCTTTCAAATACAATTATTTAACATCTCACAGCCCCTTACATGCTAAGACTGAATTGTCATATAGTTAATACTTCGTTGTCTGATAGTTTTGGATCGTTTTGTTTTTCTTTGTCAATATTTTGTCCAGACATTTTAACAGTTTTTTTTTTTTGGCTTGCAGATGCGGATCAGCTCTATTGATGACTATATTTTGCACTGCTCATTAGTTAAATAGGGCTGTTGTATTTATCTACCATGCATGAGTTCATGGCAAATATTATTTGATACTTTGGTACACCATGGAACTAGGGTTCGTTCTGGTTTGACTGACTTGGGAGTTTTTAGGTTAGAATGACCTGTGGAGGTTTCTAACACCCTGTAAAAATTGCTGGAAGTAGGGGGGGGGGGGGGGGAAAGAGAAGAACAAAGTATCGTGTAAGAAGCAAGTTGTTATTAGCTGATTTTCAGTTTATGAATGGTGTTTAAGTATCATGTGTTAATAATTATCTGTATGTATTATACCCTTCACAGTTGTATGTGAAGGAATCTGTTATTGTTTAGAATTTTCATATTAACAAATAAAACCAATAATCAGCAAATGACGCGTCTGTAATTGTGTATAACTATATATGTATGTTCGTATATACAGACAAGGAAATGACAGTCCGTGACCTCTGATCTAATACAAACACGAGAATTAAAGAATAATTTGCCAACCTCTAAGCACTGGCTTTCAGAACCATGACTTTTGAGCATCTCTATTCTCCATTTGTCTCGTGACTTTCCACCGACCAGGTTCACATGTCAAATCTAAAGTCAATCAAGCTTTTTAAGAAAAGGAGGTTAATCTTACAAAATAGTCCTTAATTAATGTTGTCGATTCTACTTTAGTGTCAAGACTTTTTAAGAAAAGGAGGTTAATCTTACAAAATAGTCCTTAATTAAATGTTGTCGATTCTACTTTAGTGTCAGATTTTTTTATGGGATGTTTGTTTTAAGAGTTCGTTTATGTTTTGAATCATAGTTCTTAATTGTCTCTGTTCTGAATCATAATTCTTAATTTTTTACAGTAGTTTTTTCTCATAAAAAATTTAAATTTTAAAAATTATAATAATGAATTATGGTTTTGAATTTATGAATCAAATGTCTCATTAGTGTTTCAAACTCAATCCTTGATGTATGCTTCTTTCAGTTTGTCACTTTTATTAGTTGGGTGTTATAAATGGAATAAAATATGAATTATAGTGTTATTTTTACATTTTTGTACTAGAATTACGTGCATGTCAGTGTTCTATTAGTTAAATATTATTTTCTGTCAGCATTACGTGCATATTTTTATCTTGTTTTTGACACTTAATTCATAAAAAGGATTAAAACTGAAATAAGCTGATAGACCAGGAATGAAATTTGAGACATTTTAAAAATGAGGGACTGAAGTGAAATTTACAGCTTGAGTGAGAGATCATCTGTGAAATTAAGCCTTAAAGAAACTGTAAATCTCTTATATAAATTGGCTTACTGAAGGGAAATCCAGTCACAGCTTCAGCTAGGCAAAACATTGTGACAGACAAAATGGTCTCTAGTGGTGCGAAAGTTCTTGTCCAATGGCTACTGCTGGCCATTTGCTTGATGGCTCTGGTGGGCGGAGGCAGTGCTACTACCTTGTGCAATATTGACCCCAGCAAGCTCTTTGACTGCCTCCCTGCGGTGAGTGGCGAATCACCGCCGCCGCCAAACGAGAGTTGCTGTTCTGTCATTCACCACGCGAACTTGACCTGTTTGTGCGACTACAAGGCTGCCCTCCGTGCTCTTAAAATCGACCCTGCACACGCCGTGGAACTGCCTAAGAAGTGTGGCCTCAACAAGCCGTGGAAATGCAACGGTAAGGTTTCAAACTTTCCACCAGAACTAAAGGAGTTTTTTCGGTTTCACTGTTGCATTCTTTGTTGCATTTTTGGATACGTTTGGTTTCATGTTACGTACGCGTCTCTAACTATTAACTATTAACTTTTTGTCTCATTTTGCAGTGCTTTGAAGCACATCTCAGGATCGTCAGATGCGCGCAAATGTTTGTATTTCGGCTTTTCGAGAATTTTCGTTTTTGGATCAGCAGCTGTTTTCTCTGCATGATTTGCATTGTGTTCGTCTTTATCGCTCACCTAAGTTTGCTGTTCATTTGTCGTGTAATTTCATCAGTTTCTTTTCTTGGAATACTGGAGAATAAGTTTTGAGGATCATGTTTGCAAAAGATTTCTCGTCAAATATGACTTAGAAAGTCTTGTTATAAGAGTGATTATTTGTCAAAAAAGTATAAACATGTTTTTATATCTCATGGTTTTTCACATTATTTGATTAACCAGTAAGCAACCATTTCATTGATTTTATTGCAATGAATCAAATATGTTGCATCTTAAACCAAAATCACTTTGGTATACACACAAGTCTCTATATTAACACAATTTTTGCCCAGCACTTTTGTACAGACTCAATAATCCATTTCTGCTTTATATAGAATACTTGAAAACGTAAGAAACCCATGTAATAAAAATAGCACAAAACAGTTCATTACCATCCAAGCAGCAGCCGAAAATACGAGTCCCCACTTTTCAAGTCTCGTAAAAGATTGATCAGTGCAACAAGAAGGTTAACGAGTCATCACTTCACACTCCAAAAAGTGGTTGTTGTGTTACCTTTGAGTTATTTCTGAACACATTACTATGATACACTCGTGACTTTTTCAGTTGGTCATTCGCCTAAGCTGGCGAGTGCTCGCTGACAGGGCGAGGGCCGCTGAAAAAGGGTCTCATGTAGGCATCATCAAACTTTCTCCAGTAGGAATGGATGGTGTACACAGGCATTTCCATCAGCATGGACAGACTTTCTTTTGCGCGGAGAATGTTGGTTGCGGCAGACTCTTCTAGGGAGAGAAGAGGGAGTGTCATGTCCTCTCTAGCGTCGTCGTACCTCCTTTCTCGAATAATGTCATTAGCGGTCGTGGGATGGGGAAGCAGATAGTTAATTAGTGGCGTAGTTAGAAGACCAAACACCTGTTGTTAATAATTATACTATTATTAGATACACATAGATGAATTACTCAAACCAACTAACAAAAGAGTAACTGAAATTCATGATTAAGTATCCAAGGAAGTCCCCGTGTAAAGGCTAAGATTCTCCATCTTTCATATTTAAAGAGTGAATGTTAAAAGTAACGTACCACCGTACTGAACAGGACTACTATTATGGTCGTCGTTATCATCGTCGCGTTGATTGGATCCGATGTGACACCATAAAACGTGAACTACACAAGTGAATAGCAATTGATTGGTCACAAATCAAAGTAAATCAATTAGCTGACAGTTACTCTAGAACTGCTAGGAAGTGAAAAAAAAAAGAAAAAGACTCAAAACCTGTTCAAATGCCAAAGCAATTGAGACAGCTCCCCTCATAAGCCCTGCCCACCATATGATTATCTGAAAAAAAAAAAAAAAAAAAAAAAAAAAATTAGTCTGGTCATATCCTTTTCCTTCTTATAGCAGTACAGTTAAAAATATTTGTATATGCGGTCACTTACCATGTGCTTGAATGTGATTTTAGATCCTCTCTCGGAATGTGCTCTATTCATGTAATTTGAAAAAGCGGACAGAGGGAACACGAACGCGGCACGCGCAACTGATATCAGTAAGATTAAGGTACTACAGATGCCTAATGAAGTTCCCATACTGCAAACATAGAGAGGTACATTTGAAAAGAAGAAAAAACACATTTGAATCACACGACTGAGTTAAATTCATTATAGAAGGAGTACTTTAGTTTAGACATCTTCCACTTCTCTATGTCAAGAGCATCCATTCCCACATAAAGAAAGATGAAAGTCTCCGCAATAAAAGACATCATTGCAAATACATGCCTGCATATGATCAGACAGAAAAAAAAATCAGAAAGAGGAGTTGGGATATAAAAACTTCTTGACTATAAGGAATTTTGTAGCGTGTCCGATATTGTTTTCCTGTACTTGCCTCGTTGTGATTCGAGCGCTGTAAGTGACATTATGCCATGCATAGTGGGACATGAGAATCCCGCAGAAGAAGACGGTGAGTATTCCACTCAGTTCGAATAGCTGCAAAGGAGCAATTAAGATGGATCATAACCTATTGAAAAATTCCGGCAAGGAAATGAGAAATAGTATGGATCAAAATGTGATTAGCTTCTATTACTTCCGCTAACCAAGAACATTTATAAGGAAAAGAGCTCCTGCAAAATCTTGCAATTTTAAAGGACATACTTAATCAAACGAACTTTCAAGTTTGCATAGTTACCTCAGCCAACATGTATGACAGATAAGCCATTAAGACCATCAAAGTAATTTCGCGAATGGTCGAGTGTCTGCAAGAAAATTTGATGTTCAGACTTACATTTCTCTATAGGTACCAAACTAACTTAACAACTTTTGACTCGAAATTTAAAGACATGTCATAATATGAAATTCTCCATTATTTATCGAAAATCTAGATTAGGAAAATGTACACGAGTTACTTACCTTCCAAAGCACAGAGTCTTGAGAACAAGTGCGGTCAGAAGTCCAGACTGCAAGGGAATAGAAACTAAAAAAATCAGGCTAAGGATACATAAATGCATTATTTTCTTCAAGAAAAAATATATAAGCAAAACTAAATAAACACATAATATTGTAAGACAAGTTCATTGGTCATACATTTATTTCATTCGCATCAACATTAACTTACTGTGATCCCAAGAGCAGTGCTTGTTAAGAACAAATACAAAAAGTCCCTGATGACATTGAGAGGAGTCAAGGCACTAAGCCGAGTAACATCGATCTTCTGGATTGCATTGAATAGGACAACTGATGTTGCGTCGTTCACCACTCCTTCCCCAAATACTAGGCTGTATAGCAAAGGGGTTTCATCTTGATGAAGAACCTAAATTTAGTTATGATGCAAATATTGAAACACTTGTGGAAAAGGAAATTAATAAAAATAGGTCCACTACAGACTGAACTAAAGCCTTAAATTTCATGTTCTAACCTGCAGAGTGCACACGGTATCGGTTGACGAAAATATTGTTCCTATTGCTGAATCAAACCAACAAATTAAGTTCATACACAATTTTAGGCCTTAATCTTAATTTTTTTTAATCATAAACATGACAAAAATTAACAAGTCTAATCTCACCAAGATAGTCACGTGCATTCAGACCAGCAAAACCCACCTTTGGGAATAGCCACCAGCTGCCTAGGCCAAAAGTAATTTGAACGCAAATAGAATAGCTCACAATAAATATTAACAAAGAAACATACCAACAATTGGAAAATTTTGAGAAATATTGTAGATAAATAATACCAAAAAAACAAAAAGTAATTCAAAAATTACCAGATGTTATGATTGATGCTGAAATGAAAACACCAACAACTCCAAATAGCATGATGGTTAAGAAGTTCTGAAAGAACTGTTTCTTCTTGACTTGAAAACTGACACACAAAAAAGATGCAAATAATTTAAGCCTAAAACTTCAAAGGCGATATATAGAGCTTATTCAATGAGTGATTATAAAGAGGGTGAAGTACTTAATTACCCGGCATTGAAGATTATTGGGGGAAGAAGGTAAATGAAGAAGAGTTCTTCATTAAAAGTCAGGATATGAGAACTGTTTCCCTTGCTTACAGCCAATATTACACCTCCTGCTAAGCATCCCTGTTAGGCATAAACAAGTTTAATTAGACCCACTAAATGTATAACTTCCATTAGACAAAAAAGAAAAGAAAAAAAAAAACCAATAATTCTCCAAATTAAAAGCACGAGGACTTCTTGCTGCTAAAATTACTATTGGCCTACCTGAGATAGCTTTATATTAGATAAAACCCCACAAGGAAGGAGAGAATGTAATGAAAATGAAATAGAAATAGGATCACAATTTTCCTTTTGTCGTTCACCAATAAAAGGGTGGATATGAAAATAAAGAAAATTTCATCAGGACTTAATAAATTGAAACTCTTCCAAGAAACCAAGCTCAAAATTCAAAATCCTTATAGTATTTCCCTTCAAATGCCTCTAAAAACTACTTTTTGGCCACTAAAGAACATGCCAAACTAATAGTTAGTTGGTTCTCACTTTCTAACAAGTAATAACTCAAATTTACATTGCAAATTAACACTAAACTTAAACTATATTTTTCAAGTTCTTCAAGAAATCTTAGAACATAGTTAAAACTTTATAACTCTTTTCCTGTTACTCAAAAAATAAAAGGATAGTTGTGAAAACAGAGAGATATAAAGAATTTATTTCCTAAAAACTTTAATTTGAAACCCTCTTAGTATTTCCCTTCAAATGTCCCTATAACTAATTTTTAGCCACTAAATTAGACTATACCAAACAAGTAGCTAGGTCCCAATTTCTAAACAAGTAATTAATAACTCAAAACTCACATTGTATTATATAAATCACTAATAAAAGGGTAAATACGAAAGTGGAACAATGTTTCATCAAGAAGTGATTAATTTGTAACTCTTCCAAGATATCAAACCTCAAAACCCTTTTTAGTATTTCCCCTTAAAATGCCTCTAAAACCTACTTTTTGATATCACTAGAAACCATATCAAACAAATAGCTAGGTCTCAATTTCCAACAAATTAATTATAACTCAAAAAAACTCACATGTGTATATCAACACACACACAATCAATGATTGACCAAGATAAAAAAAAAAAAAAAAAAAAAAAAAAAAAAAAAAAAACTTACGAGGATAATGGCGGTGATTGATTCATTAACCCAACGATTCTCTTCAAGCAAGTGGCCAACGACTACGCAGAGACACAAAACAGCCACGAACACTGATATGGGCACCACTTGTGCATGATCTTTGGCCAAGTTCTTCTGAAATTCCATTACTCCTTGCAACATCTCCATTTTTCTTTATCAAAAAAAAAAAAAAAAAGGTTCCTCTTTTCTGTTTTCTTAATATAATAGAAAAAGAGAAACAAAAATTTTTGTTACTGTTATGAATATATATATATTGAGTTTTAATGTATTTTGTGTGCATGCATGGTACTGTGGTAGTGGCTGACTTAGGTGGAGCCGTTGAGTATTTTGTGACCAGTGTGTTCAGGTGGGGTTGCCACGTGTGGCGAAATCGTGGAGGGTTTACACATGTCTTGATTTGGTCATTTTTCTTGAGATTTGGAGAATTTCAAGTGTTTTGAATCCGTCATGGACATTGAGAGATGTTTATTTTCTATATTCGTCTCTGATTTTAAATTATAATTTATAATTTTTTATAGTATTTTTCTCTCATAAAAAATATATATAAAATAAGAATGGTTCTGAATACATAAATTAAACGTCCACTTAAATGCTTCAAAGAAAACATTAGTAACAAGTCAAGAAATGCTATCAAAATTGCTTTGAGTCATTAACTTCCGAATTTAGGAAGATATGCTTTCTTTCTTGGAGATCATTTTAGGAAGTGCACATAATTTTTATTTATTTATTTTTTGTTTGAAGGGCACAGAATTGCAGGTGATGTTTGGTTCGCCGTTTGAATTGTGATTAATTGTGGTGATTTAAATTGATATTTAGATATGTAAATAAATTGTAATTTATATTTTGAATAAAATTTTAATTGTATTTAGATGGAGTACTAAAAATTATCATTAGAGTTTTATAATAAATTTTATAAAATTTCATTATAAGTATTTTAATATGCAATATAAATGGAGATTTGTTTCTCTTCATTATAAAGAGAGTGAAAAAAAATCATCTCAAACGGAATTAAAACGTAAAAGTTAAGTTACTTTTAAGTTTGAAGTTGAAAAGAGAAAAAAAAATAAAAAACAAATTCTTACCACCGTAGACGGTAATTCGGATTGTTAAATTTAATTGTGGGTGTCCATTCTAAAATTAAGATTCAAATTCTCTATCAAATAGCACTTTAAATCTTAAGGTACCATTTAAATTGAATTATTTGGTGCAATAGTTGAAACAAATAGGAGGGTATTTTAAATGATCACACTAAAAAAACTTCTACATGATGTGGAGATATTTTTACCCTCAGCTTTAATTGATCCAACCATTTGGAAAAAAAAAGGACTTTATAAAAAAAGCTTTATTAATAAAAATAACTTTCTAAAAATTTTTACTTAAAAAATACCTATAAAGCGATCATGAACATTATTTTTTCTTTTTATAAAGCTCTACAATCTTTACAACTCGATGGAGTCTCCTGTGAAAATATGGAACGCTCTTGAATATAAATACGAAACTGAGATGGAAGGTACAAATAAATTCCTTATCTTGAAATATCTAGAATTTGCCATGGTTGATAATAAGTCCGTTCTTGATCAAATACATGAATTGCAAGTAATTGTTACTAACCTTTGTCAATTAAAAGTGGATATTTCTGAATCATTTCAAGTGGGGGCCATTATTGCTAAACTACCACAAAGTTAGAGTGATTATAGAAAGAAACTCCTTAATACGAGAAATGATATAACTTTGAAGGAATTACAAAAACACTTGAAGATCTAAGAGGAGACTAAGTTTTGTGATCGCAAAGGCAAGATTATTGCTTCCTCTAAGGTTAATGTCGCCGAAACAAGTAAGTTTTCTAAGAACTTCAAAGTTAATAATCACAAGAAGTTCAAGAAGTTTGATGATGACCAAAAGAAATTTTTGAGAAATTACTTCTTTTGTGGAAAGAAAGGCCATCGCCAAAGTGACTACAGGTACAAGAAGAAAAAGGAAGAAATTAACACCAACAAAACCAATGTTGTTGAAGAGAAATCTGAAGACATATGTGCTATAGTCTCGGAGATGCAAATGGACATGATTACCGAAACTAACATGACTGCAATCAAATCTTTTGAATAGTGGCATGATTCTGGTGCCACAATCCACGATTATAATGACAAGAAATTGTTCTCATCATACAAAGTAGAAAATGAAGGACAATCGGTTCTCATGGGGAACAATGATGCAAGATGGTTGCCGGAAAAGGTGTGGTGGAGATCAACTTTACTTCTGGGAAGTTCAAAAATTTGGAAAACCATACATATTTTTGACAATGACGTGTAATCCCAATTGGCTTGATATTAAAGAGAATTTACCGTCCAATGATGAAATCCAAAATAGACCAGATTTAATTGCTTGTGTTTTCAAGTCAAAATTGGAGGAATTGTGTTGGTTTTTGAAACGTTTTTTAACGCAGAAGGATGTATGTGTGAATCGTGTATAACAAAAATTTTTATAAAACTTTTTGAATATTCTATAGAATATATTAATTTATGCAATAATAAATTAATCATATTAATTTATAATAATACATACCTAGCAAACGATTAGGCTGATAACTTGAGGTCCAAGCTCCAAGTTTTTTCAGAAAATCTGAATTTTACTCGTCTAGTCTTTGAAATCTGTAAGACGTAGAGTGTGGGCTCTAATATGAAACTATGGAATTATAGTCACTCGCTAATTTGTATTCCTCCATATCAACGCATGTATGTGAAGGAAATGGGTGTTGGAAGAACTTCTTCTCTTTTTCTCTCTTAGGAATTTCGGCCACCTACAGTGAAGGAGAACAAAAATTGTGTTCTCTAATTTTCTATTGTCTCTTATCTTTAGAACACTAGGAGGATCCATTTGCTTTAACTTAAAGACAAAGCAATAGAAAATTGACTATTTTAAATCTCATTTAAAATACAATTTTCCAATTAATTTTAGAAATAAAATTCTCCATTTTCTTTTACTATATGGCCAGCCAACACAAGATATATCTTTTCTCATATCTCTAGGTCCTCCAATAAAAAATGATGGCAAAATAATACGACGTCTAATCTTGAATGGCCGAGTTTCACCGCATTCAATACTATCAATGATTCCTTGTTTTAATTCAACTCGAATATCATCTTGGTTGTTCCGGAAATAATCTAATCTCGAGGTTTCTAATTTGATATACATGTCAACAACGTATTGTTGCAAGAGTCTACTTCAGTGTAATAACAATGATGTCTCTGCCGGTCTAATTTGCAGCTTATAACAATAATATTCTCGACAAGAAACTTTAGCCGTGTTTAGAATTGATCTTGTTTTTGTTTTTTACTTTTTTTTTAAATAAATGAAAATGTTTCTAAAACGACATTTGACGCAATAAAGACAAAAAAAAAGAAATGAAAATGATTTTTTAGTTTTGTGTAAAATGAGAGAGAAATGAAAAATGACTTTTAATCATTGTTCACTTTTTGTTTTTATTTTTTCCTCTCTCGAGCATAGGAGAGAAATAGAGACATTAATGGGTTTTTTTACATTGAAAGCAATCTCTTAATAAAACTATCAAATGCATTTTCATAAATGATTTCTGTCTGAAATTGAAAACGTTTTCATTTTCATTTTCATTTTCATACAAAAAAATAAAATCATTTTAGAACGAATTTTAAACGCGCCTTTCATCTCTCTTCTGCTTTTATTTTGGACACTGGAAAGCAAAAACACACTATTGTAAATGAATATTTAACGAAACCGTCTAATGTCAATCAATATTTTATGATATTCACACGCTATTATAAATGAATAATATTGTACCGTATGTCTCTTCTTGCAAAAAAGTCCGGAGATACTTAACAAAAAAGTTAGATGTGACTATTTGTGAGAGTTTTTTTACTGTAGCAAAACTCGAATCAGCAAAACGAACGAGACCTAATATGATCTAATTAAGATATTTAGATCATCTTTCAAGCCATGCGTGCTCTTCAATTTTTTGTTTAACAGAAGAATTCCTCTATGCCATCCATTTTCTCCATACGAAAATAGTAAAGGATATTAAAGAGGATCGTAACAATCAAAGTAGTACTCAAACTTTGTATGAAGATTTTACAATGCTGAAGATCAGATACTTCTTTTAAGCTTCAGAAAAAACGACAATAAGGATTGATCTTCAATATATGCATTTTTTTTTTCTAGTATAAGTGGATTCATCTTCTTTGAATTGGACATTCGGTGTTGCATATTTTTTGAATGCTCCGCGTCATAGAAATACAATTGTAGATATGAAGGTTGTTCATTTGGTGGTAATAGTTCATTTATGAAATGATATACTTGACCTTGAACTAAGAATGTGTATATTCCTTTGTTCTTAGGGGTGACAATTTGTGTCACGTGTCGTGTTCGTGTCGTGTTTTGATCGTTTCTTCTTAAATTTATTGTCAACCCGAACACGACTCGTGACATGAAAATTTTTAAAAACTACAACACGAACACGATACGACCACTTTACGAGTTGACACGACACGACACGAAAATGACCCGTGACACGAAATTGACCCGTGTCATAGAAATACAATTGTAGATATGAAGGTTGTTCATTTGGTGGTAATAGTTCATTTATGAAATGATATACTTGACCTTGAACTAAGAATGTGTATATTCCTTTGTTCTTAGGGGTGGCAATTTGTGTCACGTGTCGTGTTCGTGTCGTGTTTTGATCGTTTCTTCTTAAATTTATTGTCAACCCGAACACGACTCGTGACATGAAAATTTTTAAAAACTACAACACGAACACGATACGACCACTTTACGAGTTGACACGACACGACACGAAAATGACCTGTGACACGAAATTGACCCGTGTCATAGAAATACAATTGTAGATATGAAGGTTGTTCATTTGGTGGTAATAGTTCATTTATGAAATGATATACTTGACCTTGAACTAAGAATGTGTATATTCCTTTGTTCTTCCTCGTACACAAATTCTTGTCATATTTAACACCAAATGACGTAAAAGCAAAAGTATTATTATATGTACGGATATACTTTTTAAAATTCTTAGCTTCATCCGAAGTGGAAGTGAATAATTCATAAAGTACAGGAGGTTTATTATTTGGTAGTAATGAAATTTATCCATGAGAGCAACAAAAACCTTTTGTTTCATGGCAGAACCTCATG